CCCGCCCCGCGCCACGCGATGACGTCAACGAGCCTCCACGCCGCCCGATTATAAATATAGCCGTGCCGATTACGCGCACGCCACAGGTTTCGGCCCCTCTATTTCTTATAACTAACCTGTAAGAAGATACAAGAAGACCCCTTAACTATAGGTATTCTGTACATTTATTAGTTTAAAGTAATAAAATCATATTATTCGCACATAATCTGGTAACAAAAATATTTAACAAAATATTGCAAACACTAGATTTATTAGATCTTTTAATGTGAGTACAGATCTTGTAATTCAGAGATATTAATAAAATGTTTGTATTATAGATAGATTTAACCTTCGCCTTTGTATTGGTGAAGAGTTGGTTCAACAATTGATGAATACTAATTGGAAAAAGTACTGTATTACATTCGCTCACAAACATTTCCATAAAACCATAAGCCGACGCTGCGTACGTTGACGTAGTTGCACAGAACAAAATACCTAAGCGACAAAACACGCGTGTAGTACAGTCAGCTGCATAAATATTTACTAAAGTTTAGAGACTCGTACAAGCCATTGGTTTTTGAAAAATGTATACTCGAGTTCGTCCGTATGCTTCCGACTGTATGCATGCTTCATGGTATTGACGGATATTTGCATGCATATTTTTTAAACCGGGAGCTATACACGTTTCTAATGTTTTGTAAATGTACACATATTTACGCAGCTAACTGTACAGCCTACACAAACAACTTCTAATGTAAAAGTTTATGTTGCGAAAGTTAGTTAATTACTATTCACCGTAATGTCCTAAAGAAGTAAAGTACAGCAAATGTCGAAAGTCTGGTTTTACACGAAATAGCCAAATGTTGTAGGCATAACTACATAAGTATTAAAAAACTTCTAATGAAATACAATGTAATATTCAATTTATATTTATCTATTATTTGTATTTTAATTTAATTTATGTTTTATAATACGTAATGATACTGATATACACAGTCAGACAGGCTTTTTGATTTCACTAAAACAATTGCAAAGTCTATCAAAGGCTTCTAATTTTAGACTCTCTAAATCACATCATCACCTTTCTCAGATTTGAACACAGGAATACTGCAAACAGCATACTCAAATAGGTCAAGTATTTCAGTACGTAACTTGAAAAGCATTGTTAAGATGTTATGGTATTTGCCTTACGTCATTGAATTTATTTATGAAAAATTACGTCTTTACTTTTTACGGCAAAGGTAAAATAACGAAACTTGTATATTATTCACAAAGAATAGATGTCTAGTTAATTAATCCGAATTGGGCTATAGTGGCTGACTAAGGCCTAGTCAGAAATAACTCAGGGGAAGTTTAGTTGACAAAGCTTTGCTAAATCTCTAGTTAATTTTTTTCTTAGTTATCTAATAAAATTTAAAGCCGATTGAATTTAAAGTAACTATTGAAACGCGATCTTTACAGATTTTTACATTATATTTCACATTCAAACAAAGTCTCAAAAGCGTAATATGAAAGTATTGAAATTTACCAGCGTGCAGCGAAGCTATGCGGTGAAATGAGCTTTTATATCCTCTCATAATAAAGATGCTCTGTGCCGGGTAACGAGCTATTTTCAGCCACTAATAATTAGTTTTTTAATTGAATATGCACGGCAACTCATAACAATTCATAGTCTTTGTAAAGTAACCTCTATATTAGTGTAGAATTTAATTTGACGGTACACTGAAAGGTTAAACACTATTAACTTTGAACAATAGATTTGTCGACCGCACCTCCGTTTGCGTAGAATTTAAAAAAAAATTGTAGCCTGTGTTCTTCCAGACTATTTTCTTCATCTATGCCAAATTTCAGCGATATCCAGCAGTCTTTCTGGAGATGTCTTCTGACAAACATCCATCCAAGCATTCGCATATATTATAAAATTAGTAAGATTATTTAAAATTTCGCAAATAAAAAGGTGAAAGAAACATAAGTAAATGTCTCAAAAAAAATTATTTGACTTTATAATTTTTCTTATTTATAATATTTGTATATCACCATTGTACCGCCTTTTAACATGTCAGTAGAATAAGAATACAAAGGTATTATGAAACGTAAGTACAACCCTGGCAACAACGTATCAACTCCATTACCTTAGATGATGTAAAACATATTTTATATTATGAAAAGACTGCTGACTCATTATTTTTGTGAAATGTTAACGTTATCATAAACCTTTTCTTCATTGAGACTGTTTTATGCTTCATTTGATGTAAAAAATCTTATTTAAACATCACTACGTTACAATTTAAGGTAACAAATGTCAACGTTATATGGATATAGATAACACAAGGGGGTAGGCACAGATTAGGAATTTCGATAAATTGCGATCATGGCTCACTTATCTTGCTTCTTTTAGAAAGACATAATACATAGTACTCTTTCATATCTTTATTCATGATTAGCGGTCAAAAACATTCACGCTAACTTCCAGTCCAAGTCCCGTGAAAGTCAGTCCAGCCCTTCTAGAATTATCTGGAAGAAACGCAGATCAGTGAACAGACGGAGTGAATTTTTTTTTCTTTATTTGCAACACAACTACATCGTCTATTCGAAATATGAATTATACTATTTTATGCAGACACTCCAATTTTATTATACATATATGTATATTTGTCACTAAAAGCATATAAAAGAGGATATGCGTAAGATAGTGATTTCAGGTATGACAGCTGATATAAATATATGGAAGAGTAGTACATACCATACCTACTGTCTACAGGGAAAAGGACAGGCTGATTTATAACGTCACTAAATAGAAATATTAAAAAAGGAATGTTATCATCATCTAAAAGATAAAAAAAAAATTGGCATCTGCTATGAACACTTCACGGCCGGTTTATAGTAACCAATGCAAAAGATGCAGCAGAGATTTACAAAGATTAGAAATTAAATTATAAAAAAATAATAAAAAACAAATAAACAAAGTGATGGCAAAAGGGTGCTATATCGTTCCGTAGGCGTTTAAAGGTTAAATTGCCGTAAACTTATATAAGTTGTACGTTAAAATATCAGACGTAGTTTGATACGACGGATCAGATAAACAATTAATGTACTCTTAACTTGAAATATTAATTAAAATTATTATACCGACGAACACCGTAAGTAATAAACGTTACTTATAACAGTAATCAAGATAGCTTCAATTAATTAAATAGGTCTTAGGATATTTAAATGAAAATGACTCGGTAATTCATCATTCCTTAGAACCTTTGATAATAAATGGTTAACGGAATATGAAAATACCAAATCATGCATCTTAATTACAGAATGAATTTATGTCCGTCATCGCGACGAAAATAAACAACCAATGGATTTCAGATTTTTTTTATAACTTAATTTTTATTTTGTAAAAAAAACTAAAATCTATTCTAACTGCATTTCATATATACGCTTATACATACATCTAAAACGTACCTAAACCTACCATCGTCCTGGATGCAGGTGGCACAAGACCGGTCATCGGGGCGATTTTGGGGGAGGCCTATGCCCAGCAGTGGGCGTCTCATGGCTGACAGGAAGGAAGGGAAGGATACATCTATCTAATATTATAAATGCGAATGTTTAGATGGATATTTGTTTAAAGGTATCTCCAGAACAGCTCAACGGATCTTGATGAAATTTGGCACAGATGTTTGAACATAGTCTGGAAGGAGAGATAGGCTACTCATTATGTTTAGCCCATCTCTATTTTTTAATTCCGCGAGGACGGATACGGGTGATAGCTAGTCTAAGAATAAATTACAAACGCCTTGCTACACCTACCATTTTACCAATACATCGTAGGTCGTAGCGTCTACGTAGGATGTGCCTACGCTCGTAGACACACACGATAATCACGTCTTTTGAGCTACAGTTTCCGGAACAATGATTTATTCTGTACTTTTAATCAAACTTAACGTTTTATCACATCAACCTTAAACTAATGTTTCTATTACTTGACATATTATATTCACAATAAATATAAAATCATGACGATTAGGTTTTTGACTTGTTATATAGTTTTCTATAATAATTTGCACGTCAAACGACGCTTCCATATAAAACTGGCAAAAGTCTCTCTCAACTGTTTGTTTTCCGTTATGAATTCCTTAATGTTTCCCCGTTGGACTGAGACTGTGTAAGCCGTGAATAAAACGAGGACAAAGTTTTATTCTAAAACTTAACGCAGATAGAAGTGGCAAACGGCGTCGCTTAGAATACAGCTAATTTCTTTTTATTGTACAAGTTTTCACATTCTGTCGGCTTCGGAGACATTTATCGACTTAATTCTCACAATCACGCTCAAGATTCAACTTACATATTTAAACATACAAAGTCGGTTATAAATGGCAAGTAAAAATCAGTAAATAGTGTCCCTTAAATTCCATATTTAATCGGAGCCTCCAATCTCAACGGAGGAAAAATAAGATTTTGTCCGCGACTTCACCAGATAAAAATAATGTCTAGTTTTGTCCCTCCGAAACTGAGAATAAATGTTGCTTTCTCATGACGAAATATTTTTATCATTAGTCCAATAGTTTTTGAGTTTATTAGTCACATATGAAATAAATAATTTCTCTTTTTAATATTACAATAGATTATTAAATATGTTTTATTTTGTTGCAGGTTGGAAGAAATAACCGATCAGTGCCAGTAAAAGAATAAGCAGATTATAACTGAGACGAAAAACGAGGAGTCTCTTATCGTTCGCCAAAGCCAAATAATGTGGTCGGGCGCGAGCCCGGCGGTTGAGCATTTCGAGTGCACTTAGCTAATATGTGCGTGTGGTGGTGCCGGGGGGTCAGCATGCGCGTGTGGTGCGTTGCCGCGGTGCTCATAGTGGTGGCGTTGCGGGCCGCGGCCGAACCGGCGCCGCGTCGGTACCGCTCCGAATGGCGCACTGCCCGCGCCGCTCGCGGCTCGCGCGAACTAGCGCGTCCCCTGCGCGACCTGCTCGAGCCCGAGCCAGCTGCTGCCTCCTCTTCTGTCGCCGAGCACCGCGAGCGCCGCCGCGCTCGAAATTCCAAGCGCACCCCCTACCTGCCCGCGGAAATGCCCGGCAGCCAGACTATGCTGCGAGCCTCGCGCTCGAACCGACCTTATGATGTACCGCAAATTGGTAAGTTACATTTTCGCATTAGTTCTACATTGTAGTATAGATTTAAAATTCATTTAGGTTTTATAGTTTGTCATAATATAATCAAGCACATCCGAATTAAATTTGGTTTCAGAAACGCTTAAAAAATCTATAGACTGACATTATATGATTTTGTTGTAAGCCTATTATTATTTAAGCTGCGATCTTATTTCCCAAACAATAAACATAACAATATAAGAATCTTAGGTATATTTAGCGTGATTATATTTAGTTTTTCAAAACTAACTTGCAGAAATTTTTACGAAAAATTAATACATAATATGTACAAATGATCTCGGTTAAATGAGAAATTATCTAGCTTCTGTGGGAGCTACTTTACATAATAACATACGAGCAGAACTAACGCCGTCGCGTAAGCTTTTCATATTCAATGGCTCATCTGAATTCAGCCTGCACGGGATTACGGAGGTGTCAAATGTACATCGCAATGTCACGAGCGCCACGTCCATTGATGATCAAATGTCAGTCGCTATCATTTATTCCACGATCGATACTCGTACTCTTTAATTTTAAACACCGCAAGCTTATGCGAATTAATATATTACATAATTTGTGGCTAGTTTTGGTGATTAATTTCCATTATATCTGCCATGATAAACTGAAACAGCAACCATAATCATAAGACGTTTTAAGACTATCAATATAACAGTCAAGACCTGTAATTGTCTCGGCTACGGGACGACATGTTTTATCCTGGGGGTCTAGCACGAATATTCGTGAGGAAATCTTCGTGATGTTAGCGACAAAATTTGGGCCCGGCAAAGCTTATCGAGCGTAAAGTAAACCAGCAAATCTCATACAAATTTTGACATATTTTGCCAAAGACGTTACGAAGGCGCGTGTGCGAATATTCGTGCTAGGTTCTCTGTTCATTTTATGTTACGACGGGCGCTTTAAGCTCCTCTCGCCAACGTAGAGATTGGATGAAGCAACACGAGTGGGCTGGGGCCATCAGAGTGTGGATTAGTCTGCGTCCCACAGGACGAAGGTGTTCGGCTCAGGTGTATCGCGTGTCGGGCTTCGGGCATTTTGAAAGGTTATTGTGCTCGGATTATGGACACGTACTACCTACACGTCTCAACGATTGGAAAGTGCTGCCACGTACGAGCCGAGCCCTACGTGCAACTGTTACCAATTACTGTCGACTATTATTTATAGTTTAATCTTCATAAACTTTACTCTGCACACCTGCAGTCGTACTAACCTAAAACAATCTAATATTGTCGCATGCTCCACGTGTCTGACGTACTTAGAATTGTAGACATATGAGGGATAAATACTGGCTATCTTACTATAGCCGTACGTATTACAAATGTTTAGATGGATGGATGTTTGTTCGAAGGTATCTCCGGAACGGCTAAACAGATCTCGATAAAGTTTGTCATACATACGGAACATAGTCTGGAAGAACACATAGGCAACTAATTATGTTTCTTTTACACCGCGCGGACGGAGTCGCGGGCGACCGTTACTTAAACTATGCTCCGTTTTTCCTTTAATATGCTATGCTATATTAAAGGAAAAAAGACATTAGAATTTAATAAATTTATGCATGTGAATTAAATTAATATTAAACTGTATATAGAAACCAACGAGCAACAAAATATTTGGGTCTAGTACTTCTTTATGAAAGTTTTAAAAAGTTATTTATTAAAAATTTATAATGATGGATGCAAATCTTATGACAACTTACTAAACAGAACGATGGATCTCAAGACTCAAGATTATTAACGCTCTAGTTGCTGGGTAGGGCGAGTAATTACAGAAAAAAGCAGCACACGAAGAGTGTTTAAAAGTTACGTACTCTCAATAACTTTTGATGCTTACCGTAAATAAAAATGATAGTTCAAATTTTGAGTTTTTGTTATAATAGCAATAGGCTAAGATCTGAGTACTTCACAAACAATTCATATGATATTAAATGAACAACGCTACTAAAAGATATCTATAGAGAAACATCAACTTGCAGAAAAGGATAACTTTTACTTCCTTTTCCTTATTACAAAATGACTGTAAGGAGAAATGTATTACGAATATCTATTAGGTCAGACGAACACAGAAAAGTGACTACTTCACGCGTTTCGTTTTCGTTGTATTTCGCATTTACATTTACCAAAACTCGGCATCTTGATACTTTTTCTCATTGCAACCGATTTATTTCGTTCTAGAAGCTAAGTACATCGTAGTATCATAGTTTACAAAGCTCTCTTTGACATCGTTTGTAGTGTGTTGTATCAACTAAAATGACAAAGTTCTACAAAACAACCAGTCTTGTAACTTAGACTTTCCAATACCCACGCTTCTGCCTTTGTGAAGTTATCAAAACAAACAATTGTAAAAGGCCAAAATCAATACTCGATTCTTTTTGTTTATCCGCGGCATTTTATCAATTGATTCTTTAACCGACCAAAATGTTGTCTACTGTTTTTAGTACAAAGTAATCAAAATGATGTTCAGATCCCTTAAGAAACTAATATTGATTTAGGCTACAAATAATATATATTACAATTTATGAAATAAGCAAATGTTATTGTGATAGTAGCTGTCGACCGCAACTTGAATAAAAAATGTCAAGTTAAAAAAAAAGTTATTAAGCAGCCTGTGTGTTCTTTAGGACTATCTTCTTCATACATCTATGCCAAATTTAACTGAGATTCATGTAGCCGTTCTGAATATCCATCCATCCAAACATTCGCATTTATAATAATAGTAAGAAGTAAGATTAAAGTGCATAAAGGTTTTCATATATAGATATACACACAAAGCTTATTAAGGTATGGACATGAAACTTTTATGTAATACCTCTCACCGTTTTCATGATCATAACACAAATAAATTTGTCGACTCCTCGGGGTTTATGTTTAAAATAATAAAATTTTGACCGCTCCGTATGTGAAATAAAATTCTACGTTTATCTATTAGAGTACACTAAGTGCATCAAATTCTTTGGATTAAGCGGTTTATTACAAACTAGCTGTCGCCCGCGAGTCCGGCCGCGCTAAGTAAATAAATCTTAATTCCCTATGTGTTCTTTCAGAGTATGTTTTTTTTTATATATCACAAGGTGGCAAACGAGCGAGCGGCCACCTGAGATGTTGTACTTCTATAGACTAAAAACCAACATTTCAAACCCATGTCACTGGCACACTAGTATTTACTATACCATAGACAATCGGATTGACGTGTGTATAATCTGTGCACACCGGAAGCGAAGGCCGGCGCGACCTGTCAGTCACGAGCAACAGGTTCATTAGTTGTTCTCGACAGGCTACAGCACAACACTTGCTAACAAGAACAAATTGCCGAGACACTACGTCACCAATTCACTTGGGAATAAACGTTCATACGTGAGTTTTCATTGCCAATATACGTATACAAAAACATATTGGCATCCCACTGATACCCTTTAACATGAAAGGGATCACAATATTTATGTCCAACTATTCCTGCAATGAACGCTCAATAATTACGCAACGCACATTAATCTAACCTCTGTCAAACTGAACGGTCCTCGTACTAGTTGGAAATTACGGAAATGGGAAACCGTTTGATACACTAATTTGTAATTATATACTGCTTCGGTTCAATGCCTAATAGTTTAAGTAACGAGTTGATTTCAAAGCAGAGCAAGAAGGTAGGAGCGTTGAATCTAATTACACATTTGGTATTGATCTTTAGAAACATGCTTGATAGGTTAATATCTGTTAGTTAGTTTAATATCTGTCCTTATTTTAAATGTTATTTCTAACAAGTGCTTTAATTTTAAATAAATTTACGTCATGTAATAAATTTATACCGTGTAAATTTTAAATGAGTAAACAAAGAGATTATATAAAAGTTATAAAGCTCATTTGTAGAGAGTGAAATAAAATACAATTAACCTTTTCTTTGAACATTACGGCGAGCGGCGAGCGGCGAACTCACGCGTGCCCCGCTGCCGTCGTTCGGAGAAGCTGTAAACACCCACGCTAGACCGTGAACCTTTAAACTATCGTTTAGAATCACTTTATTGCACTTACATTCACAATATAAAAGGTAATGTTTCGAACATCCCTTATACCAGTTTTATTGCTTATCCGTTAATAAACTTCTTGTTATAAAAATCGATAGATGCAAAAGCATCACTTGCCATCTTCATACGTTAGATCGTTTACGAAACGTATCCCGTCAGGCAATAAAATACAATTTCGAGATGATAAATGCCGTCTATTCGAACGACATAAAAAACCATAAGGAAAATATACGACACAGTTCTGGTGGCCTAAAATGATGCATGAAATGGGATGTTTTCAAATTAAAACACATAAAAATGACATACATTTTGTTATTTCATTTTGCGTTACAGAATTTACTTTCGATTAAGTATTATAAACTCTTTATAACTTGAAGTATCATTTGATAATTACTTTTTTTATTATTTTAAATTTCAACATGTTGTAATTTTCTTAACGTTTTACGCGAATGTTACCAAATAATTATAAGATATCATGCATGTTTATTAATATAACATTAACAATAATGATTTTAGTATTTAATTTACGTAAATTTTGATGGTTATTAGTGCTTATGAACAAGCTAAACTGTCCCGATAGCTGCATCGTAATAAATTCGTATCTCGTATCTCTCAAAAGCTGGTACAAAAATAACATTGCTTTGTATTTTTATTACACCTTTTTGATTCCATATATTTCATTACATTTATTTCAGTTCAGAAATAATCCTAATGGAATCCGTCGAAACAACATATTCAATTGAATGACTGGCTTATTCCTTTCGACAAGGCTATTTTTTTCATGTAGCATAGTATTGTTATATTTATCGGATTCTATGTTTATTAATGAATTTCTGCCTTATTGATTTTTATGTAATATTTAAAATACTTTACTGAAAAAACACTTGAGTTTTTATATAAAATATTAAACTTTGTGGGGATTGTAATAAACCAAACGTATGCTTTCTAC